CTCTCTCTCTCTCTCTCTCTCTCTCTCTCTCTCTCTCTCTCTCTCTCTTTCTTTCTTTCTTTCACGGACGTTCAGGGATACGGAGGAGACGTCGAAGTGAAGTCGAAGAAACCGCGCGTAATCGATGCCCCCGAGACTATCACGGAGAGCCCATCTCGATCGGTGTATCGTAAATCTGCGACGGAGAAAGAGGAGGAGAAGGAGGAAGAGGGAGTCGCGGAAGCGACATATCCATTTGCGTTCTGCAAATCGCACTCGGCGATCGGCCTTCCGGTCTCGTCAACAGAGAGAACAGCCCCCTCTCGCGATAGTCACCGCGCGACCCTCGGAGGGAAGAGCGCCGAAGACACACCCGAAATATTATTCCAGATGCTTCGCGCGCAAGAGTTCATTCTTGAGAGACTAGACGCTAGTGGAAAGTAACAAATGGCAATAAAGAATAAAACGAAGTCGCTGTGTAATCGTGTAAAAAACGCGCGTCCAGTCGCTTATCGCGATCGCCCCCCGATGGCTGCTCCGACCCTAAACTCGTCCCCGTTGAGGAACAAGCGATTATCATCCCACGTGTAAACGCGACCCCTCGCGATTTTCATCATTTCTCTTTGTCTCTCTCCCTTTCTCTCTTCCTGAAACGAATGTATATAATAATAGCATAATAATTGTGTTTAAAGCGCGCGCGCGACACAGTATCAATTGAAGATGACAAAAGGAAGGAATGGGGAGAAGTTCAGTGCTGAGTTTCTCGTTATGTGATCCTGACGCTGCGGACGATATCAAAATTCGACTGAAAATGTCGGGTGGCTGAAACGAAGGGGGAGGGAGAGAGAGAGGGAGAGGGAGAGAGGTCGATCTTGACGTCGATCGAGGAGGAAAGAGAGGAGAAAAAACACTAAGGAGGAAGAGAAAGATCGGTTTATTCGCCGTACCGTACGCACGTATATACGCACACATCGCACGCGCGCCCATTGTCGTATGTAAAACTTGATATAAGGACTTTGTAGCTCTTAAGATGACGTTGTGAAGGTAAAAGGAAAAAAGAACATGCCCATATATACATGCAGACACACACATGCACACAAATACACACATACATGCAACACACATCCATCCAGCCACACACGACATAACACACGACATAACACATCTGCAATGTGATATTCTCGTGTCTTGTCCGATGACAGACGTTCATTCTAACGAGTATAGTTGGCGTTTGTCCTTTTTTCGCGTAGCTTTTAAGGTACCTACATTTAAGGGGAAACTACATACGTAAGAGATAATCCGAGAGTGCACGCGTGAGAAGGTCTTGCGGTAAGAGCAAGCAAAAAAAAAAAGAAGCAAAGAAAAGGGGAGAGAAAATGCAAAAAAAAAAAGAGAAAAAAGAAAGATAACAGGAAAAAACGACCAAAAATGTGCGAAATCGAGTGTGTGTGTTTGTGCAAAAGATGGAGATTTACTATATTTAATTATTATATTATGGGTACCTCTAATATCACAAGAATATTCGTTGCTGTGTCTGCTGTTTCGATTTAAGGTACCGTGGTGAGAAACCTAAGAGCATCGACGACAGACTAAACCAGGCCGGGCAACCGAACTCGGGACTGTCGCTGACAGAGATTTCGCGTTTAGGGTTTAGATTCTTCGGGGTACCATCGTTGTGTGGATACAAGGGGTGCGAGCTCTTCTACGAGCTCCTCATCTGTTCGTTCTTCCCGCGACATCTTCGCCCCTCTGCCTTGCCCTTTCACCAGTATCTCACCATCCCCTTTCTACCCCGTTCCGCCTTCTCGTTCGTCGGGCAAAAGTACTACGTTCTCGCGTGGAATGTTGTGAGCGCTCTGCTTCACTCAATCTCGATCTTTAAAGAGGAATTATGCGAATTAGTTGTAATAAAGCGCGCTTGTTCATATAGTCGGATCTATTCTAGTTGACATATCTGTGACCCCGTAACTTTTAGTCTATCGACGACGGTTCTCTGTGTGTGCATGTGTGTGTGTATGTGTGTGTGTGCACTTGCTGTGTAGTATTCGAGAGTTTAACCGGATGAAATACTATTTTCTCGCATTGAGACACTTTTAACTCTAGAAAGGTAGCATGAGTAATTTCTGCTCACACTAAAAGCTCCAATCCTAAGAGGGTAGCGCGAGTAATTTTTGCTCATACGGAAAGTCTCCAAGCCTGGAAAGGTAACGTGAACAGCTTTTATTTATAATGAAAGCTTTAATCCTAGAAAAAAAGGGTAGCCAATATGAGGTAACCTTTATTCATACTGAAAGACTCCTAGAAAAATAATGATAATCTGTGGTACAATTAAGATAAGGATGAGTAATCGTTACTGATTCAGTCTGATAATATCTCATAAAAGAGCAGTGGTATCCATTTCAGTGGGTGGTGAAACAAGTAAATATTAATCTAGAGAAATATACACCAGTTAGGGGAGCTTAAGGCTCTCAGTGTGAGCGAAGGTTATCAAGGCCACCTTCCTAAGGTTAATGCGCGCTGGATATTGCTCTGCTACCATTACACGATGTACTATTATCGTACTGTTATCGTCCGCAATACGGTCGCGCAAAGAAGATAAGGTCTGATTCGCGGGAGGACTTTGGCTTACCTTGCCTTACCTCGCCGAGCTACTTCATCGAGAAGAGGTAGGGGCCGCCGTTTTTTCTTGCCGCTGATCTTGAGTCACGCGCGCACGTGTGCGAAATAGTATTTTATTCGGGCGACAAATGGCTCGGCTTAATCTTAGATTTCTCCATCGTGTCGGCGTATTTCTCAGGCGACGCTGTTGATTCCGTTCTTACGTTATTGTGCGCTATCTAATCTCCGTGCGACTCGGCTTGCGTCTCTAACCGGGGTCAGCCGCATTCTGCTGTGTTTCGATGTGTACCTGAAACCGGTGGTAAGGGTTCGATGAAGCATCTCGCAATTTCCGCGCACAACGCGAGGTGCAAGTTGCCCCGCGAGCGCGCACAGCATCCATCAATCGACGAAGACTATGTTCCCCCGAGCTCCAGCCGTGGCTTCTTCGACGTGAAGTCTCGCCCCTCTGCGATTTGTCGCGCTACGAAACACCGCCATCACCTGCGCGGTTGGTCGTCGAGTCGGCGATGTTTCGCCTCGGGGACGACGTTTCCCCGCCGCAGATCGAGACAGTACTCTTTGCCCGTCCTCGTTCTCGCCTCGTTTTCCCCTCGTTTCGTTGACCGCGGGGATGCGCATGTGTCTCCAGCCTAATTCCCAAAAAGGAACCTGACAGACGGGCCGTCGTGCTACTCCACCCTCTTGGGGCGCGAGAATAGTCCGCGGAGTGAAGCGTGTGTCACATGCCATCGTTAGTCCGTAAGCGTTTACACTTATTTTTCTATCGTGAGTCGTATCATCGCTCTGTCGTAGTTCGTAAATACTTTGGCCGTAAGGTAAAACAGTACTCAATGCCTGGACACTAATGACACCTAATTCTGCATACTTTTATTGTTCTTTAAACACGAATATATTAAAACTTCTAATGTAGAATATATACAGGGTGATTCGGATGGAAATGTAGAGATCCTGATGACCAGTTAATTGGACTGCCATCCATCGATCATGGAGGTGTTATTTAGATGTATGACATGTCGAATATAACGAGTAGAAGCTCCATTATGTTGGAAATACATCGACGGAATATCCTCAGGCTATGGACAAATAATTTTGCAGCAAGTGTAGGATACGTTTCTCCTATCATCGGGAGGCAACTGCGCGCAGAACTCGCTGTATCTCTCAAACCGTGTGGAATCGGTCACATGTTTGTATAAACATTTTGCCAAGAATGAGTCATACTACTGTCTCTCTTCCTCGAATATTGACTCCCGAATCACCCTCTGTGTGCACATATTGAACATATCCATATATTCTACGTGAAGAATTCAAATATTTCATATTTGAGGACTAAAATATCCAGAGTTAAATTACGCGAGTTATCAGTATCCGGACATTGGATATCTTTACCTTAGTCGTCGCAAAGTAGTTTCGCCACTCGTGTCCGCCGAGTCTGCCTTGATTCCTCGACTCTTGATTCGATATATACGTTTCGCCGTCTCCACGGCGCCTTATCCTCCCGTGATACGTTGATAATCATCCAATCGCTTGATTTCCACTCGCCCGACGGTTTCGTCGCGAGGAAATTACCGCCTCGGTGTTCTCGAGAGAGAGAAGGGTGATATTTGTCGTGTCGAGTCCGCCGTTCCTCAAAGGCTCGGAATTAACGCGCGCCTCTGCGCGCGCGATCAACATTTCGACTGACGTCTCGCGCTCCGTGTCGTCGAACAATGTACCCGGGACGCTCGTTCTGAACGGGACCGCGAATCAAAAGAAAGGGAAGGAAAGATATTCGAATGATGCGCGTGCCAGAGAGCGCGACGTGATATTAAATTAATGAACGATCGGAGGTGAATCCGAGACGAAATATTTATTCGACGTGTTGTTCATTTGGAGGCGTGCCGCGTGTTCTTTCATACATAGGAGAAAATACTCTTCTGACAAGATATTTTATTTCGCGGGGAGGGGGGGAGGAGGGTTTTTCCGATGATTTCCTAAGGTATCTTCTCTCTTGGATGCGAGTAATCTACAGAGATTACGACCAAGATTGATCTTGTTTCGATATTAAGCTTAAGAAAAGACAAGAAACATTATTTTTAACGACCATTGACGACTTTCAATTACTTTTAAGGCTTCCGTTCGGAGACGCGAGTTCTTCGAGTGATCGATTGAAATTAAATAGAGCATACAAATCGTACGACTATGATACTTCTCTCTTTCTTTCTTTCTTTCTCTCTCTCTCTCTTTCTCTCTCTCTCTCTCTCTCTCTCTTTTTCTCTCTTTTCCTCGCGCGACGTTAAGCTGCAAACTCCCACGATCTTACGATGGCTCTTCATTGACGCTTTGCGCTCAAGTTTATTTTTATAAAAGACTTAGAAGAAACAGAAAGAAACGCCATTATCTCTCTTGTTTTTGGAAATTGTACAAGGCGATCGTACGCTCGATAATATTATGGCAAAAAGACACATCCATATCTTTCTATCGACCTAAGAATCAACATTTACCTAAAAACTTACGAAAAAATTCTCAAAAGTGTTATTTTCTAAGAAGTAGCGTCCTGCGTGATGATTCTATATATATAAAATTATATATATATATATATATATATATATATATATAATGTATATTATATATATAATATATAATATAATTATATAATTATATATATATATATATATATATATGTATATATATATATATATATATATATATATATCAAATTACGATTAATTGTACAATTCTCAGATTGTCGCGGATCTAAACGAGCTAATTTCTTTCTCATTCAAAAGCACCACAGAAGCCTACGGGTCTCTTCAATGCGATAACGCTATAATACCGCGTGTATCTCACTTGATCATAATGAATTCCTCTCTCTTAGACGCGCCAGATTTAATCGTAGCTCCGCGAGAATCAATGACCTCTTAATTTTGAGCAAAATGTGAAGGAAAGTAAGATCGAACGTCTGCAAAAAAAGAAGAAAAAAAAAGAAAAAGAGGAAGAACGACAGCATTTTCCGTGTTGAAACTGAAACTTTTCTCCTGTATAGAGCGAGAATATGTATTATATATACATACATACATATATATATATATATATATATATATATATATATATATATATATATATGTATATTTCCATTACATATATTATACTTATTTATTGGATTACATCGTAGAGGAGAGATCGACGAATATATACGTCTCAATATATTTTATGATGTCAATAACAGTACTAATCGCACCAATTCTAGTTATTTATATCGCTTTAGCCGTAATTATTTACTATCCTCGATATAATTACACTTTGTGTTCCGTCAACAATCTCGATGCAATCTATAAGTGCCCGTAAGCAGATTATATCAGGCGGTCTCGTTATATTTACTGGAAGCTTATTAAGTCGATATATAAGGTAATCTCGGGAGCTCGTCGATCGAAAACTGTCTACTGACCCTTCGTAATAAGTATAATAATAATAATAATATTAACAACAACAACAATAACGATATCTATAATAATCTATTAATAATGTTAGAGCAATAATGGCTGTCTAATTTTAACACTGTGTGTGTGTGTGCGTGTTCGCGCGCGTTCGCGCGCACGCCCGAGTAACCTAATGGCTGTCTGTACGATTTAACGCGAACTTCGCGACGGTAATTACTCTTCGTGACGCGACACAATCCACTTCGGGGGCAATCTCGCGCGACTGACCGAATTTATTACGCGTACGTCGATCGGCGCCGATGAATTAAAACCCGAATTCTTGCCAATCCGCGCGTTCCCGAAACGAGCGAGGGAGGAAAATTACGATCTAATACCGTCATCGACAATAATGCTCAGCTCGCGCGTCGCTAACACGCGTAATCTACATTTCGCGGGATGTATGACACGGACAAAGCGGCCGCCGTATGCGATCGCCGTAACAAAAAAGAAAAACAACAATTAATGTCTCGAGGAGAGATATTATGGCGCGACACGGCGTTGTCGCGCGCGATACCACTCGATCGACATTGGCTCTGACAACGTTCCCAGGAAAAAGCAACCAATTACCGGGCACGTAGCTGAGTCTGGACATTCGTACTTTTGATCTTTAGATACGAATATCTGAAATTTCAACGTAGAATATGTGTACCTATCTAATATATATATATATATACGTATTTTTTTACGTTGAAAGTATTCGTATTTGCGAACCGAGACAATGAGAATGTCCAGAGTCGGGTAGGTGTTCGGGAATTGGTACTTTTACCTCGACGTGTGCAAACGCTGCTCGGCACGATCCCGTTTGCGTTTCCGTCTCTACTGTACCGTCTCTGCTGTATCACTCGACGAAATGCTTCTTTCAGCCAGTCGGTTCGTGTCAATTGCAACTCTTTCTTCCTTCCGGCTTGCCGCTGATACTTTTCAGCTTTACACGTAAGAAACGTCCTCGCGTGCCGTGATTATCTCAGACTTAACTATCTCTGCTTCGCAAAGATAACATACGATACATCGATACATATTCATCTTCTGCGACGTTTCCTTCTCCTCTTTGAATCGCGTCGGAGGCGGCTGCGCCTCCAAAACGCGCGGGAGTCGGCAAACGAAGACTGGGAGATCTACTTTGTGTGTTTCTTACACGCGTATCAGACAACAATAAAATAATTCGGACATACACTGAGATAAAAAATGCTCGAAAACTTATTTGCAGGCTACAAAGTTTATCTCTGTGAAATATATAAAGTTTGTTTCCATGAATAAATCTTTTATCCCACGAGTAAATTTTCCAGTATTTTTTTCTCAGTGTATTACTATTATTGTTATCAACATCACACGACGCACTATACTCTTATCGCTATCGCTGATATTGTCGGTATTACTGCCGCCGCTGTGTTATTACTGTCACCATTGCTATTTATTGTCACTACTATGATACTATCGCTACTACTACTATTCTACTATTACTACTACTACTATTATTACGGCTATTAATATCTATTACTGAACTGCTGCTGCTCTTACCACTATTACTGTTACTAATTATCGCCGCTCTGTATACTTATACGCGTTTTCGTGTCTACGTGCAAATAATTGTTTTCACTTTGCTACTATTCGAAATGGCGCTATCGAGCTCTCGTAATCGTTAAGTACAAAAGAGCCAAGGTAGTTTAGGGTGAAATTAGCGAGAGTTTCTTGGATCATTCTCACGAGTCGGAACAACGCTTTGCCTACCTCCGAGGCGCTGGATCAATGCCGCAACTTCGCTTATTTTCCTACAGAATGGGATTACAGCCTCTTCGACGGCGTCGCGTGCAAGCTGCACTCGACAGTTGCTATGTGTCCTTTCGCATTTGTACACACCCACACACACACATACGTACGTACGTCGACGCGTACTTCAACTTCGTACTAGACCGATCTCCAGTTCGGAGCACAAATCGCGTGGAACGTGGGGAAGAGACATTTAGACGTTACGACATCTTTATCAGAGAGTAAGCCAACTATTTGGGCTTAATGTGCGACAGGCACGGAGCTCAACAGACACGCTCAACGATTAACCCTCTGTAATCCTGGCGCAACCGTTACCTCTAACGAAAACGCGATAGTGCAGCACACACTCGCGGTATGCACACGACAGTCGCAGCTCTAATCACACGTAGACTGCTTTCACGATGACGCGCATGACGAAATCTCGGCGCAGCTCTCTCTGTAGTACGCGTACCAGCGCAAGAACGCGTCAGGTTCCCTCCTGGTCCGTCACGCTTCGTCGCGGTCTCACGGAGGCCGTCCGGGTTATAGATACGGTTGATTACGGCTTCGCGCCGGAGAATCCCCCCCCGAATGAACATCTGCCCGAAATGAAGGATCAACGCGGGAGCGGCTCCGCACCTTGAACCACCGGCACAGACACACACACACGCTCGCTGGTGTGTCGCTCGTTCTTCCGAGTCGCTACACTGCTCTCCCTCTCGTTGCTGGTCCGCACAAATCTCGCCCAACGATCCTCTGTGTTCTCGCGACCTCGAGACGAGAGACCCGGGGAGAGAAGAGCTATATCGAGTGTTTGTCGCGCGAAGGAAGCTTCCTCGATGTTGATCTTCGGAGAAGGAGTCGTCGTGATCTCGCCGTTCATTTCACGGCCTGACGTGGACGTGCTCTTTGAGTACTAGAGATTAGGAATCGCTGTTTCTCCTCGTTGCTCTTCGTCCTCGATTAATTGTTCACTGACATGGCGGAAGGGGTTCACCGAGTACGTCGATGACGCGCAAAGAGAGGGAGAGAGAGAGAGGGAGAGAGAGACGCGTTGATCTTTGGATATCCGGATCTCACGAGAACAAAAACGAATTATTCTTAGTTCGCCAATTGATCTTACACGTGGAACCGTATGAGTTCGAGGCGGTTTAGGAGTGCGACGATAATTTGAATTCACGCACGAAGAAACAAGATTGAATTAACATGAATCGAATTAACTTTATTCATTAATTGACTCGTTTGACACACGATTCAGCTGAAAAACTCACGTTTAACTCTAAATTCAAAGCTGAGTATATCGAGATAAGATTCAAGTAATGACTATTAATATGAATCCCAGAATTGTCACCTAAGATCGCTCCTTAGTGTATCCTTCTTGCTGCTTGATTGAGACTATAGTAAACGCTGCCAAGTTGGCGTTTTTTGCCAGCACGAAGCAAATCAAGCCGGATTTCTAAACGATCACCGGGTTCCACAAACCTCAATATTTATTACAGCTGAACATTGTATTGCCATGTTAGCTCAACTAATCTTTTTTCTCCGTGCAACAAGCTTTGATAACAGGTTTCTGATAATTGCGCGATAAGCTACCTTGGGCTTGCGGTTCATCAATTTCCCTGCGATAATGACGGAACTGATTATTAAGCGACATTGCCTGTTAACGACGATAAATAATGTGCAATATACACACGTATACACTCACTGACACACACGCAGGTACACACACATGCAAACACACACGAAACCCGGCAGGGGGAGACTATTAATAGTGGTACTTCTATATACTCGCGCGCGCGTGCGCGTAGGATGACCTCTCTGATTAGGTTTAAGCTCCCGCCTTCATTAATTCGCATATCTGGCAGTATTTTCACGAGTCGAGACGATTTGCGCCGAAGGGAACGGAACGTTCGTTCGGCTTTTCGGAAGCATCGCTTCTTCAAGTGTGACTAGTCATTTTTAAACGTCTTGTCCGACTTATCTCTCGTCCGGCGACGTACACGTGTCTCGCTGTTGAAGCGTGTGATAAATTATTTTCTAATTGTAAATTCCCAGAGGGAGAGAAAATTAGAACTTGCGCGCGCAAGAAATGCGCTGCAGTAAAAATTACAACAAAATCTAGTGATCTTGCATCATACAGACATTTTATGTCCGAGATTGCTGTGTATTTGATGAAAAATGTTGTGCACTTGTTGCTATAAAATTATGGCGATTTCTTGAATGATTTTTTTCTATCGTATGTGCGGTAGATCGCCAAATTTATTATTTTCATAATAATTTCTACTGCGATGTCCGTATAAAAAGTGAAAATTACAACAAAATTTTGTAATCTTGGATGTAGAGATTATGACTGCAATTATTACATATTCACTGAAAAATGTTCATGTTTAACTTCTTATTTGAATGTGGATCAAGAGATTCAGGTCAAATCAAACTTATTACCAAATTGCTTTATTTGAATGATTTTTCATGTCGGTAGATTGCTATTTCTATAGTAATTTGTATTGCAATATCAGCATAGCCCAGCTCTATGCAAAAGATACTGTAAAAGATATTCTTATAATTTTTACTACAATATCTTCTCCAACATGGCCAACGATCCCCTATTTTCAACAAGGGTGGACAAGAGTCCGAGCAAGCGAGGAGACGCGCAAACGCGAATTTCCCTCCGCCGTACGATATTAGGTCTGTTTTTCGCTGAACTGGTGCACACTTACTTCATTACTTTCAGAGAAATAGGGTGACCTCTCC